GTTAGTACACTGGAATTTGAGACAATGTGGGGAAGAATTTGAATCGAGTTTTGCGTAAGTTAGAAAGAAGAAGTCGATCAGCCAGTCTTCTTCATGACGCTTTTAGATAGTCTGTTCGTCTAAGTGCTGATCAAGTTGATCTAGTCAAGAATGCCCCAGTCTGCAGTCGGGGAGGACGTTCAATCCAATCTGTCAGCCCCAAGGGAGCACATGTAAATGAACCACGGATCAGGTCCGCCTCCTTCGCCCCATCGGTTATATGAGCCGTCTCACAATAGCGGAGACGTCACCTACACCTACATATTGGCTATGTAATATGTAGGAAGTTCGAACATGATGACTCTTCTTAAAGTCTGTCGAATGACTGTGAACCAATCGTTCACAATCCCCGGGAGGACTGCTTTGACGAATGACCTTTCGTGGTGGATTTGGTTTTGATGTGTCAGTGTTGCAAGGGCAACGTAATGTACATACGATATCGAACTACAGGCTAACTCGGGAGGTAGGGTCAGTAATTTAGTCTCTCCCTCATTCCCCCAAAGATGGTTAGATTGAAATTACAGACCTATGAAGATGTGACGAGTATTTTACTAGTCCGAGTGCTAAGAAGTGGTACTCCATCCCACTAGTTAGCACTGTACCTTAGAAATGGAACTCTGATCCCACCGCCATCGTCATTGACTTCTGAGGAAGACTACTTCTTTAGTACTAGCTCGTGAGTGGTCGAGGGCTGCAAGCGGTGTCAGCTATGAATCCACCATTCTTTAGCGATTGCACCGGTTGAACGCCGGACTCCTAGTTTAGTTGTCTCTAGTAGATAGACTAGCTATCCATGAACCCATGGGATTCTTTGGGACCACCATACGTACTGTGTAATGAAGCTGAGTTCGACTACTGTAAATTTTTGCCATTGAATACGGAGTAACGGCGTCACTGGGATGACAAGGGAGTATGACTAATTCGCCCACCTGGTTTCAGATTTGTCTGGCAATATCCAATGTCTCCGTGTAATACAACGTAATACAAACCAGTAAAGACATCGGTTACCCATGGAAGCACTTGTAGGTACCCTACCAACAGTTACCTGCCCCGTAAGGCCGTGAAGGAAGGTAGTCGCCTCCGGTAAGGTAGGTTATTATTACTAGATGCTGGAAGTCCTTCCACTCATCCTTCCATGACTCGATTTCCGCCAGTTTGCCCAGTCTTTCCCCCCCTCCATCTCCGTCCGCTCTTTTCCTTGGTGTTATCGGACTTATCGTGGTGTATTGTTCTTCTACTTACCGTCTCATCCGTCTAAAGTTATTCTTCATACATCTTCCTCCTCATTAGAAAGAACCATTTCGCTGAGTTCTCCATCGGCAGTATTACTAACTTATTGTTACGTGCCGCCACTGTTCCCGAATCCGTTACGGTTCCGCAGACAATTCCAAAGCGGGACAGCATCCGAGGGTGGACACTCACTCCTTGTGTGATCCCGCCCAAAGCCGCTTTCGAGGATTCATTCCTTCATGCTTGGGTCGGCAGAGACGCTCAGTCCTCCTCCTCTTCATTACTCTCCTTCCGTCGGGGATCACGATCACACTTCCTCTCGGGACTCGACCCCTGTCACCACTCCACTCGGGTTTGGCGTACCGCCGCGCAGGGTAAAGGTCTTTGATCGTTCGTGGCCTCGAAACTCATTTGGTCTCCTCGACAACCATCCATCATTTCTCGATCCGACGAAGTTATATTCGCAACCTCAAGAAGACTACGATTTCCCTCTTTTCCCCTCGCCCCCTTTCACATCGGGCACGATGAACAATACAGCAGCTCCAATTGATATCGCCACTCGCCAGGCCTCAGTCTCTCCCCCGGGGCAACAGGCGTCGAACTTGACCTCTGCTCTCCAGAGAGCTGGAAATGGCGAGCGGACCGGTAGCATATCTCACGCGGGCGGCGTTGGAATCAATATATTCAAAGCGCCACCACCCCGTAAAGACTCCATCGGTGCAGCGACCGCACAATGGGGTAATGGCTCCAAACCGATTTCCATGTCTGGATCCAACCGTGATAAACAGCGCCGTGAGTCTTTGGCCGGGAGCTTGGTTGGTGGTATGAGCTGGGGTGGTGTTTCTGTTGGCAGTTGGATACGCGACGAGTAAGTTTTCATGGGCGCGCGATCGATATCCCACTTGGATTCATGAGTGGCACCCCACAAATGCGCCTGACTCGAGTTTCAACGGCTAGAGGCTAATTTCAAATGATCTAGTATTTTAATGACCGGCACATCCCCATTTACTTTCCAGTCGCCTTCGTTCCACTCGTCATCTTATCTCCCAAAGCTGGAAGCCAACTTCATGCGAGACTTTTCTTGCTGTGGTGTGACATTACCTACTCTTCACGATCTCCTACAGCACTATGAAGAAGCCCACGCCACCAAGTCTCCACACCAGGGACATCGCCCAAGCCAAGCTGACGGCAGGGCTGCTTTGGCTGCTGCTGCAATGGCGCACCAACAGAACCAGCAGAACAACAATCAGAACCGTGGATTGCAGCCCGAGAGCACACAGCGGAAATTAAATCAAAGCCAGCCGCCTCAGCAGCACTCCGATATTGATGCAATCGATGATATGGAGCTGGACGAGCCAATGGGTGATCATGATGCATCGTCGCAGCTGTTTTCGCCCCAGCCACAAAATGGCAACCAGGGGGGATTCGCCCATTCCAATCAAAGGGTGCCACATTTGAATCTGTCGATGCTTCCAGGACATCAGGGGTTCAAAGGTTCTCAACCCGGCACGCCTGTGGCCTCCGGTCGCCCCCTGTCGTTGCAGAATAACCCCACTGTTTCCTCGGTGAACACGCCAACTTTGATGTCGAATCCACTTCAGAACTCTCAATTCCGGTCAACGCCCGACTCATCCACACCGGGAACCCCAGCCGAACTCGACGAGAGTGTGCTTGGCGGCTTCGGTGACATGGGGATGCAGACCAACAACATGATGCAAGGCCAGGAGCAATTCGCTCGCTTTGCTGCCAACAACGACATGGTGGATCTCTGTATTGACGAGCCGGCGAAACGTTTATTCAGCCCAACCGGGGGAATCAATACACCCAATGCTCATTTCAAGCTCAGTGGGGCACAGTACGGTCCAAATAGTGAAATTGCACGCAGAATTAGAGAGCAGCAACTGTTGGCCGGCGTTCCCGATACCACTGCTTTGCTTCCAAATGAAGAACCAAAGCCTTTCCGTTGCCCTGTTATTGGTTGCGAGAAGGCTTACAAAAACCAAAATGGTTTGAAATATCACAAAGCTGTAAGTGTTCTGTTACAGGATAGAATTCTTCATGGACTATAATTGACATAATATCGCAGCACGGTCATAACAACCAACAATTACATGATAATGCTGATGGTACATTTTCCATTGTTAACCCAGAAACCTCAACGCCGTATCCTGGAACCCTCGGCATGGAGAAAGAAAAGCCATATCGTTGCGAAGTGTGTGGCAAACGTTATAAAAACTTGAATGGTCTCAAGTATCACAAATCGCATTCTCCGCCATGCAACCCTGACTTCCAACTTGCCGCTGGCCGCAACCTGGCTTTCGGCGGAGGAGTCATGCAGGGACAAAATATTAATGTTGCCGGGGCTGGTCTACCTGGTATCGGTGAGGAGGGTCTTCTATAGAAGGTCTCGCTTGATTTTGCAAAGCTTGAAAGATAATGCTTTGCTCTTATCTTCAATTTCACATAATTCAATTCGACGATTTTGACGGCTTCGTCGCGTGACATACGACTTTATGACCGGTTCGGTGGTTTGGAGTTACGTTTGGTATGAACGTCCTGTCGATCGCGGTTCTCTGGGGCAGCCGCGATTCGATCGGATAATGAATAGTCAGTCCTTTTGGTGCCCTCGAAAGACCTCCGTTGAGATACATTTATGAGTTCCCGGTACGCTTGTCGGTATATGATTTTCGGCTTTTGTCGTTTTCGTGCCTTTTTTTTTTTTTTT